AACACAAAACCTGCTACTCCCCCTCTTTCCTCCCACAATACCTGAAAAGTTTTCCACTCTCTTCAGAGCTTCTTGGAGATCCAAATTTTGCTGGTGAAGCTCCATCTGCTTTCTGGATTTTTCATCCAGCTTCAAGGCAAGGATTTCTATCATTTCCTTGAGTTCCTCCTGTGACTTCTGAGAAGCATTTTTTGCCTGCTGCTGAGCTAAAATCTGTCCCTCCCGTATGATTTCCTGGTGTGTAAGGTTGGCTTGGTATTGTTTGAGGAGATCAGACACCTGAAATACTACAGTAGAAATGAATCAGGGTTCCATATCCAATCCCCAATATAGTTCCACTGAATTTTCACAAAATCAAATAATCAATTTTGACAACAGGTAAGTATCCACAATAACATTTCATGAACTTGAATAACTGAGAAGCAAATAGCACTTCAAAGTCTACTGGAAGATGATCCAGATTTCTTTAGAAATTATGCAGTGTCTTTTTAATGTGAGGAACTTTTCTGACACTTAGGATAAAAAAAATTACCAGTATTTTTTATTAGAGTTGTGCACAAATTAAAATTAATAAGTAACACCACAGTGAAAAAAAATAAAATACAGACAATCTAAGACACTCACCATACTCAGTGACTGTTAATAGGAATTGTCATTAGCGGTTTATTCTACTTGTGTCTTAATTCTTGCGTTAAATCTCCTCTGTCCCCTCCCATTTTGTCTCACTTTCCAGACTTCCTAATTTTATTTAAGAACCAGAACACTTGCCCTATTTTGAAATAGCCACCCACAAAATTATTTTAAGTTACTGTGTCACTAGAGTCTCAAAACATTTTTTTGTTTTTATTTTTTGCCATAGTGCATTTTAGGAAGGGTGGAGTTGAAACTAAGGTTGTGAAATCAAGCAGCAATGAATGTTATGGGTAAAAGATCTCAGTTCTAGAAGCTTGATGCTGCAATCTCAAGGGGATCCCTTGACTTGAAACCAGACACTTCTCCCAACCATTAGGAAAAGGCCTTTAGTGTTGATAGATTGAAAATAAAGCCGGGCACAGTGATGCAGGCCAGTAATCCTAGCTTCTAAGGAAGCTGAGGCAGAGGGGTTGCAAGTTTGAGGCCAGCCTCAGCTACTTAGCAACACCCTGTCTCAAAAATTTAAAAGGTCTGGGGATATAGTTCAGTGATATAGCACCCCTGGGTTCAATTTGTAGAAACAAAAGAAAAAAAGAATATCTTATGAATTTGAACAACTCAGAAGCAAATAGCACTTCAAAAACCTTAATACATTGGATCCCAGCCACTTGAAATAGTTCAGATCTACAATCTAAATATGCAGACAAATTAGATGGATGAATATAATTTTCTTAGATATTCTTGTCCTTATTTTCACTTCTGCTTTTCCTATTAATACACTCTCTTCCTAAATGACCATGTTATAAATTTAAAGTACATTTAGTTTAAAATGCTTTACTTAGACTATTTCTGATTTTTAAGGACATTTAATCATCTTCATCAAATCTCAACAAGAGTTAGTGAAATTCATCTTGGGTTTGTCCAAGTGAGTTTGTGGATTAGTTATGTCAAGTAATTTTACTCTCCATCATTCTTGGATTTATATAGACTTTCTCTATGAAGTTATGAAAATGAAAAAAAAATATTTTACCATGTGTATTCTTTATTTCATGTCTTTATCAATTTAAGGGATTAACACAATATACCCATTCATCTTCCCACTCACTTTAAAAACATTTTGCCTAAAACAAATCTGAATCAAGGTTGTTTTGTAATTTTTAGGAAATAAATTCATAAATGTAGACTCATCCCACCTATTTCAGTACTTACACTGCATCCCCAGCATTATGATGGTCACCAATAATCCCATGCAAAGGATCCCCAGAGTTACAGCAGCAGGGCACCACCACCGAGAAGTAAGAAAGTGAAAACCTAGAGGTGGAAAGAGAGAATCAGAAATTCAGAAACAATAGAAGCAAGTCGTCAAACCATTCTTTGGATCTTGCTTGTACTTGATTTCTTCTCTCTCATACTCCCAATGGCTCTGCAAATAATTGATCACACACTTATGATGAAAAGTATGAACAACTAAAGAATTTAAGTAATTTACTAATGGTCACAAAACTGGTAATTTTAAGAGCTGGGATTCAACTCGATACCTGACTCTGATTATCTGATTTTGAAGCTGATATTTTGTCTAATCTCTGCAAAATGACTCTTTTTTTAATTGGATAAAAGTACATATATATGTATATAGATATAAATATATTCTTTTTTATCTGTTCTTTTTAGATATACATGATAGTGAATTTTGACATTACAAATACATGAAGTGTAACTTATTCCATTTATAATCTTTTTTATTGGTTGAAAAAAATGACAGCAGAAAGCATTACAATTCTTATTACACATATATACCACAATTTTTCATATCTCTGTTTGTATATAAAGTATATTGATACCCAATTCGTATCTTCATAAATGTACTTAGGCTAATGGTGTCCATCACATTCCACCATCCTTGCTAATCCCCTGCCTCCTCTCTTTCCCTCCCACTCCTCTGCCCTATCTGGAATTCATCTATTCCTCCCATGCTTCCCCTCCCTACCCCACTATGAGTCAGCCTCTTTATATCAGAGAAAACATTCGGCAT